CCGCTTACGTTTACACCGCAAGCCATAATCTGACGACTTATAGATGTTTGCATTCTCCCCCCTTCATCCTCTATTGCCCTCCGGTTATTTCACCATCCTTGTTTAAAAAGCCTTTTTGATTTATAAACACATCCGCCGAATCTACCGGCGTTCCTTATGCTTTTTAGCTAATATTATAATACAGCGACACTTTAAAACGTACACGCAATTTGCTGGTCTCATTCTTGGCGAGGTCGTCCACCCTCTCCACGCTGAACTAGTGGCTGGGAAGTCTTACCGTACGATGCGCCGAGGCTTGCGTCATATGTCTTGCCGTTCATTGGCATATCAGCACTCTGTACTCCCATTCCTAGCATGCTGCCTCACGTGTGAAGAAACGCAGATTGAGATGTTGAAAGCCAACCTGTCTCCACAACAGATGTGAAGCTTGTGTAAAATTTTCACTTTGAGTATTCTACGACATTTCACTTTATCTTATCCCTTGCTTTCCGTGAATGGAGTCATTTTTTGCTGAAAATTTTGGATATTACCCTCAAAATTAAGCAATCTCTCTCCTTCTCTCTCCCTGAGGATGTCTTTGGATGAGAATCGAAGCACGAGGCCAATAAACACCGCGTTCCAGCCATCACACCTTCTCCTGAGTGGCTTTCTAGAATTGCCCTTTTCGCTGCTATCACTACTACTGGCAGAATTTTGTTTAAGGATTGTACATCTGTTTGAAGCCTTTCTCAGACTGAACAATGTACGTGCAGTACATAAAGGCAGCTTCTGAATAATACTCACCTTGTCGACCAGCGCATCACCTTACTGGCGTCTAGTGCGGCGTAGATGAATAGGAAACCGGCGTTGAAAAGGCCAACACATCCGAAAAACGCGTAGAAGTCCAGCTCGTAGGTCTGCGTAACGGTGAATATTACTAAAAAGGGACACAAAAGAAGGAAATAGAATCAGTGCCTAGACAGGAATAGTGACCGGTACAGGGCCTAGGCGTTGTGAGAACAAATCTGTCAACCAAGTTCACATTTTTTGCGGTCTGTAGCCTCGTGGAAAATATTTAGATCAAAGGTGGAGAGCCAGAGAATCAACAAATGAACTGTAAGCGAAACATTTTTA